AGAGCGTTGGTGCTAGGGGTGCTTGGATTTGTTGTTCTGCTAGTCCTTGACTCCTTAGGCACTTCAGAGCTACTGTCATAGAGTAGCTAGGCAGCCCTGGGAGCTCCTCTGACGCTAGAGTCTCTCCTCTGTAGCTTGGTCACCTAGCAGGTCTGGCTTTCTGTTCTGACATCCCATCTTGTGTCTGCAAAAATCATGCTCCTAATTTGTATGGGTTCCTATTTATTTTCTTCTCCTAATTGTGCCCCTGATATGCAATCTACATGACAGCTTCCTTTTGATTAGGGAGCAGAAACGAGTGCCAAAAATGTGTCATGAGCAATAGAGACTCAGTCACTCAGAGGGCAGTGCTGATTGCATTGCTATGCAAATAACACTCCCGGTCACATTTGGTGACCAGGTGGTGATGATTCACTGACTTAGGCATTGACAGATAGGTCCAGGTCGTTTGGAACAGCTGTGTGACATGAAATTTGTCAAATACCCATAAAATGAAAGAAAATGAAATCACTGTAAAAGCATTAAATGAGATTTGGTGACCCTGATTAAGGTGCCTTTTATCTAAACGCTGTTTGATTCCTACAGTTAATTCTCTGCCCGATGTTTCCCTGAAAGTTTCTCAAAAAACAAAACATTTGCTTCTCCCTTTGTTATTACCTGACTTTTTGAAATAGTCTGTGATGCTTGGCAAGGAAAGGTCCAGTGATTCTCCAAGAGACCTCGTGCTCTATTAGTGACTATTAGAGAAGTCAGACAGTAGAGGAGGTTTCCTTACGGAGACGAACACTGCTGTGCCAATGCCTCGGTGTGAGCCCAGCCCCGTGTTTCTTCCCTGTGCGAGCAGGCATTACTGTTGCCTCCCGAGCAGAGCATCTTGTGCCCACTCCCCCGCAGGTCTCTCCACTCTCTGGTTTATGGGTGAAATGTTATGTCTAACTAGGCCTCTGTTCAACAGGTGAAGCAGATCATGGAGGAAGCTGTGACAAGGAAGTTTGTGCATGAGGACAGCAGCCACATCATCTCCTTCTGTGGTGAGTCTCTGGTGGCAGGATGTTGAAATTAGCTTCACAACCCTGGAGGCTTGAGCGCTCTCTTAATGTTGGGTTGTTGCTGCCTTGAGGCACTGTTGTGATATGAGCATTTCCTGTGGACACATCCTTCATTCATGGGGCTTGGTGCTCCGACTGGGATGGTAGCTACTCCTGGAGAAGGAGTTATTCTGGCAGCAAACTGAATCCCGAAGGCCTTTGCTCTATATTTAAAATAGATTGAGACATGCTGGAAGAGGGAAGGACATTGGCAGTATATACAATCACTTTAGTAATACTAGAAGCAATCTTTTTTTAATCTCCTTGAGAATTAGTTCAGCAGAAAATTTGTCAAGTCTAAATATTTCTTTGCTATTGCGGAATAGGAATTTATGGAAAGGAGTCTTCAAGCTGGGTGAATGCAGGAAAAGAAAGACTAACAGCTCTGATAGCATTTAAAACCGTGTTTGTGGAGGATCTACTCTTGATACTGTGCTGGTTTGAGGCCCGTTTTCTGGCAGCTGTGCCAGACCTCTTCTTAACCTCTTCTTTTTTACTTTTTTTTTCCTACTGCTTAGTGACAATTTTGTAAATATGGAAGTGTTTTGGAATTAACCCATCAGAATCTTGGCAAAGCATCTTTTAATAACCTCTCTGGTGCCTAGGTGGACTTTCAGCAAGGACCAAGCAGAGGTCCTGAGGATAGTAGGGGTATTTGAATCTAAAAGGAACCTTGTGGGCAACAGAGAGCAACCTTGTTTCTGGTATCTTGAGCTCCTCTGGTTGGAATATTTGATGAATCTGAAGCCATGTCTGTGCATCCCCACCCTATGCAGAGCTCACTGGGCAGGTATGTCCTGAGAGAGGAGGACATGCCAGCTTCCTCAGAGCAGCCAAACTGAGACTACGATACAGTAACACACAAAGCAGCTGGCGAGCCCTCTTGGCAGCCGTGTCCCAACTCCCTCTCAGCAGGTGCACTGCCTTGGAGAAGGTTTCTTGGGGGCTGGACCAACCCAGAGTGGCCCAACACTTTGGTTACCCGTCTCTTCTCTGACAGATGAAAACAGAATTTCGCTGTTCAGATAAGACTGCTGCTAATCATCAGAGGAGACTTTATAATCAAGGTGGCAAAATTAGATTGTTTCTATTGTTGTGGCCCTTCCCTGAAGTTTCACAGTCACCTTTTAAAACTGGAAAATAAGTGCTTGCCTTGGACACAGTTAATGCCCTAGGTAAAGCAGTTTCTTGAGCAACCTGAACTGCCCAGACTGCCAAGTGCTGCCGGGGAGAGCTTTTGCAAAGGTGGGGAAATCTAGCTGGCAAACAGGAGCAGGGAGAACAGGGCAAGCACTTCAGGGAATCGAATGAGCGTGTTCCTGTTTGTTGTAGTCCAGGAGGCCCTGGGCTTGGAACCAGGCCCTTTATGCTGGGTGCCGCATGGACTAGAACAAAATTTCTCAGCCCCTTGCTGCTTGAGGTGCAGGTAGGATGGAGCTGGAGCCAGATGGGGGGTAGGAGTGGAGGGCTGCAAGGAAACAAAGGGACAGCATTAATCGGGCACAGGCTGTGGTTTCTGCACACCGGCAGCCCTGTCAGCGTCAAGTGTTTACCCCCTCACCCAGTCCCTGAGAGTGTGCTTTGGCAAGGTGCCTGGTGCCCTCCATCTGCCTCTGTCTCCTCGCTGGCAGCTGTCTGAGCAGTGGATACAGGTTTTGAGGAGAGATCAGTGACCTCTGTGGAAGAAGAGCAAGTCCCCTTCCGTCCTCCAGGTGGGCAGTTGGCTTGCACAACAGTGGTTTTCCTGGATACCTTTGCTTTTGAATCTACTTGTAGCCCCTTCCCTTGGCATGGCGTTATGCGTAACAGAGCAAGCAGTCAGCGCTGCGATGGTCAGTTCTGCCAGGCACGCTGGTCCTCCAGGTGCTGCTCTCGGGAGGGTGCAGGTATGGAAGCTGTCGCAGCTGGTTACGGAGCGCTGGGTGAAGGGTGCAGGTACTTCACTGTCTTACCCTATTGTGTGTTCCCTCTTGCATGTGTGAGATGAGGTTCCGTCCACTAAAATCAGTGGAATTGCCCTCTTTGGGGTGCTCCATGATATTTTCTCAACAGCAGAATTTTCCCTGTTCTGAAAATAAACCAGCTTTGGTAGCAGGAGTGCCTTTCTCTGCAGCTGCAATAACTGCTCGTCTTGGGAGGTGGAAGCCTCAGTGCGAACAGCTCCTGGGGAACTATTTTGGGCCTGGATGCCAGGACTGCCTGTCTAGCTTTGCAAAATGAAGTTCCTACATCGAATTAATGATGGAGGTATTTAGGGTTCCCTCTCCCCACTGACTCCCAGGGCAGGATGTCTTGTCCTAGAGTACAGTATTCCTGGCTGCTTGGAAGGGGCATTTTCCTGGGAGATAGGGAAGGGTGCCTGTTCTCTGGGCAGAGCTCTGGCATGGGCAGATGTCCCATCTGCCAAGGTGGGGGCTAGCCCTTCTCTTGGCTCACACTGATGCCTGCACACTTACTTCCTCCTCTTTGGAAGAAGCTGTGCCTTCCTTCTCATTTAGTAGGATGCAGTGATCGCCTGAGGCACCTGCGCGTGCCTGCTGCCCTCTCTATTTCATGTATTATATTTCTACTGAAAAGAAAGACAGAAGAGGCATCATAGCCCTCCTGGAAGAAGCTGTGCTTGCTCTCTGCCCACTCACCAATGTCTCATGCTATTTACCATGTGCTGGCTCTCGCTGCTCGCGGCTGCTGGGTTAGTGTCTATGGCAACATGCAGGGTGCTGGCTGAGCAGGTAGATTGCAGCGCCGAGTGCTGCAGAGCTGTGGTCTTGGGCCTGGCTCTCTGCTATGTAGTGAAGCTGATGTTGTGAACCTTCCTAACTGCCTTAGCCCTTTTGCTTGTCACTGTCCTGGCTGTCTTTAGTGAATCACTGGGAGCTTCACAAGTGCTGGGCAGAGCCTGGCCTTGTCAGGGTGCCCATGTGTTCTTAGACCAGATCTCTGGCACCTCTTCCTTTCCCTCACTCCTGTGCAATTATAATCCGCTGAGAATAGTGGCCTTCCCAGGACCTGGCACTGCTGTAGGGAACAGGAGAAAGTGGAGGCTGGGAGATGAAGAGCTTTGTATGGGATTGCAGAGGGACTGCCTTGTATTTGCTGCCAGCTGCTATTGTGGGTTCGTCTTGGTGTCTCTGATTCTCATGGGCCTCTTCCCTTGTTCAGGCCTGATGTGACCGGTTTCATAGTTGCGTCTGCAAAGCGTTTGGGTGGCCAGTATGTGGTGAGGCCTCTGGCAGAAGCAACTTGTATTCCTTTTTGCAGAGCACAGAGCTGCTGACTAGCATTTCCTGCTTTCTGAAGAGAAGCAGGGTTAAGGGAGGGAGGTCCCCTGCAAAAGGTATCGCTCAGAGGGCCTTAGGAGGGACCACTAGCAAGCGCTGAGAAAGCTACATGCCAGTTTTATTTGTGGTTTTCTGTTTAGTGCCACCTTTCTTCCCTAAATGGCAGCTAGACAGCCCTGCAGTCCCTGCTCAAAGCCCAGCATAGCTGCAGGGGGAAGCATTGCTATTGCAAACAGAAGAGACCGGGCGAGCACAGCCAGCCTCGACTGCTGTGGGTGTCTGCTCAGAGAGACAGCCTGCTCAGTGTTGTTACTTTCAGGGATTTGAGATGGCAATGCATTTTGGAAGCAGGGTCCTAGGCTGAGCAATTTTCCTTAAAGGGTAAAACCCAAAGCTTTTGGAAAATGGGAAACTCCATGTCCTTCCTGTGGCTCAGCCCTGGAACTGAAGCCGCCAGGGAATCTCTCTGGTGCAGGGACTATCAGGCAGCTGTTAAAGGCTGCTGTGATTTAGAATCACAGAATAACTGGTCCAGTCCCCTGCTAAGCAGGGCCAATTTCAAGGGCAGATCAGGTAGTTCAGGGCCTCGTCCAGTTGAGTTGTAACCATTTCCAAGGGTGCAGATTTCACTCCTCTCTGGCTCTTACACAGGCCAAACACTTACAGTTTGAAGGATGCCAAGAGAACTAAAACTGCTGCCTTGTACCATCACCAGGAGCTGTGGCTTCCAGGTAAGAGAGTGGAGGCCGGTGCCCATTCAAAGCCTCATCAGCTTGCTGTCACTGTTGCTTCTCAGCAGAGATGCTTGCTGAGCTACAGTCAGCCGTGCTGCCAGCACTCCCTGGGTAGGGGCCATGTGGCGGCTGCTGCTGAGCAAACGTGCAGGCATTGTGCGGAGGGGGAGCTGCACTCCTGAATTTACAAATAGCTGAAGGGCAGCTTGCTAATTTGGAGGCTGGGAAGAAAATGAGAAGTGATGACAACTTGCTTTTGAAGACGTTACTCTGAGAAGACTCATGTGGTGCTGTCACCACTGAATGAGATTGTAGCATCTGCGGACATAGGCACAAAAGAGACAAATAAAGGAGCTGTGTGGTCTCCTTTTCTGCTTTGGAGAGCAAAAGGGCTGCCTTCTTCCTTTTCTCTTGGGCCCTCAGATAAAAGACGTGTAAGCGCTTGTTCCAGGCCTGCGTGTCTCTGTACGCTGTTGGCAAAATGGCATCGAAAGAGCAGAACAGATTTCAAGGTGTGACTCATTCTCTGCTTTTCTGTACGGCACGAGGCTTTGCAGCCTGGAATTATTTATAGCCTTCTGTGACACAGAGCTGAGGCGTCCAGGCACGAAGGACTCATTGGTTCTTTCTGGTTTCTTAACGATGCTGCTGCATTTTTGACTGGCTTTTGGGGGTCTACACGTTGTAGTTTGTCTGCTGTTGCGCTCTAATTTGAATGGTACGTGCAGCTTCCTCAGTGCTGTGGCTCTCCATAAGCCAGGTGAGCTTATAAATAACCTCTTTTCCTGACAAGCAGAGCATGTTGCAAGCCTGGCTCTGGCTGCGCAGAGCTGCCGTTTTCTCTGGGGGAAGGTCTCTTCCTCACTGAGCCCTCATCCTCTAGCCCTCCTAGTCCCTGTGATAGCCAGTGTACCGCAAATCCCTTTGACGAAAGCAGTGGTCTGGCAGAAAAGGGCAGTGGCCCCAAGCAGCCCTGTTTTCCCAGTCAGGGAAGGGTTGGAGATAGACAAACACAAGCTGGCATCTGTCACGTTCACACTGCCCTTGGAGGCTGATGAGAGGGCCGGTGGCAGGCCCTGGGGGGCGCGTGTGTGTGAAGGGGTTTGTTGTCCATGTCAGTGCTAAGACTGCCTTTGTGCTTAACCCCTGAGTAATTTTAATTGTCTCTCTAACCTTTTACCCCCCTTGCCTGGGCATAGCTGGACAGAGCCCCTGTATTGTATGGTCCCTGCTGTGGGTTATATCCTTAGTGATGGGGAGAGTCTCTGTCTCTCAGTGTCTGTTTGCGGTGGTGACAGTAAATTATGAACTGGCCTCAAGAAATCATAAGATTACAAATGGAAATATTATTACCCTTGGATGTGGTGTGGACAAGGTGCATTTAGTGCGTGTGCTCAAGTTTTTGAGCCCTCGGCCTCTGGGAGTGTTTTTCCTATATAGGCTGCATATTCATGTTTAGTTTTGCTAGCAGGAGTAGGGTTTTGAAGAGGTTCAGGATGCAGTGTTGAAGACAGATGCTGATGACTACTCTGTCTTGCTGGAGCATTCTGGGAAACTTTTCTTCAGTCCTCATTTGCTCCTGAGTGCTACTCTCTATGCGACAGGGAAACCTGTTGCATTGGCCGTAATGTGGACAAAGTAATCTGCTGGCTTTCCTGCGTGAGCAAGCTTGCTCTTAGCCGTCATTGGAAATTCAGAGCAGAGTTAACTGCACGTCGAGTGTTTGATGTCAAACAGAGATTATCTCTTAGGAGCGATGCAGGGCATCTGTGAAAGGAGGCAGCCCTCGCTCCTGGCCCTCCCCACAGCTTCGCAGCGCTGTGTAGAATGTAGGGTCCTGTGGCCTCATGTCTGGGTTGCTCCTCACCCCATTTGACAGAGGTTGGCGATCGCTACTCCACCCTGCAGAAGGTCAGCAGCAGAGACCTGTCTAACCTTTGTGGAGATGTCTGCTCCGTGACTGGGCACGGTATGACCCTGGATTTAGTCTCAAGCAGATAGGGTTATCTGTATCTGCCACTTGTATTTCAGCCTTGGAGCACAGAGCAAAAGAGTGAAGGGATGTGGAGTGGGATGATTTGTGCATATGTGGCAGAAAGGGAGGGTCTTTTTGCTTTTGTTCTATCAGTCCTCTAGATCTCAGAATAGCTGCCAGCTCTCAAAGCCATGAGGCAGTTGGGTCTTATTTTGCAGCTGCAAATGGTCCTCTGGGACAGGTGGGAAGACTCTTCCCTGCGTGGGCTGTGGTATCTGCAGCATGTCTGGACTCAAGGAGGGTTTGTGTATGGCTTTGTTGAAAAACTAGGTATCCATCCAACTACTCTGAATGGCCATTCTGGGTGAGCAGGACTTGGCTGGCCCAAATGTGTTGCTCTTCTGCCATTAGCCCAGAATGTATCTCGCAGCACACCGACACGCAGCACTGCAAGCCCTGCCTGCTTGGCGGTGAACACGGGCATAGCACTAAACAGGGCAGAGATAATGAGACCATCTCTCAGCCCTGGGAGCTGATGTTTATGGGTCTGCATGAAATGAAATGTCTTTTTAAATGATTCCAGAGAGTTGTTCAGCTGTAGGAAAAAATGCCTTTCCAAGCGAGAGGTGCATCAGCATCTGCTTGGCCGCTGCTGAGAAGGCTCATCACGGTTGTTTCTGTAACATTTGGTTTCCTGGAGAAGGAGGGGTGCCGGTGCACCAGAAAGCTGTTCTGTCAGACCTAGATCAATCGCTTATAGAACTGTGGGTTTGTGTAATTTTCCAGTGCTTTGATCAGCCTGTTTAATAAGTCTGTGTTTGACACTAGACATCCATCCTGAGCCCTCCCAGGGGACTCCAGCAAGCAGATTGCCAGTGGAGCCTATTTGTGTGTGCATCTTTCTGTGGAGTCATCGCTGGTCTGCCCTGGCAGCAGGCTCCCCTGAGGCCTTTGCCACTGGCTGGGCACCTTTGCTGAATAACCTGGCAGGAATGGGCAGGCAGTGGGTGCTTTCTGGGCTCTTAGTGTGGCTTTAGCGAGCGCCTGACATCGCCTTTCAGCCAAGCTCAGCGCAGGGGGTTAGGTGAAGCCTTGCATAGACAGGGATTGTATTGCTGTGTGCCAGCAGCCACTTGTTGCTGTCGCCATAAGCCCAAGGGGGCACTGAAGCTGGACTGAGCTGCTGGCGTTTCCTGCCTTTCCTCTGCATGTGGTTTATCCTCAGGTTCTCTATTGCCTTTAGATTTTTTTCAGGAAAAAATTTGTCTGAACATGGAGATTTTGTGAAAAAATTGCCCCTTTTCTCTGCTGCTTTGGAAATGCACAGTGTCTCTGTGCCTTGTCCTCTGGCTTTCTCCTTTTCACTTGGACCATCACAGCACAGGGGCTGGGAACGAGCTCTCCTGTTCCAGGTATGCCAGTCCCTCAGACTGGGCTGAAGGGAAACTTTAGTGAGTTGTTCCATGTCTTTAAAGTCTTCAAGAAACTTGTGGGGAGAACTTCAGTCTGTCATGTTTGCATGCCATAAAGGAATCATATTGTGACTATGTTTACATAGCAAAGCAACTGTCCCACCTAAAGAAAATGTACCACTTTCCTGTTAGTTGTCACATATGTGATATGTACGTTTTCCTGAAGAGGGGGGAAGCTCTCTGGAGAACCTCAGAGCAGTTTCACATCTCATCCTTTACTCTAGTCCACTTCCTAATGAAGGTGGCTGGACTGATTTCCCCTGAGCACGCAGGAAGGGAGTCATCCACTGAGCTCACAGAAAGCCTGCCTGCGCTCTGGAGTCTGCTGTGTTGCTGGCAACGCTCCCCTCTCCCGTGGCACTGCAAAATCCTGCTATCTGTCCCAGGTTTGGCCGTGACTGCTAGCCCTATAAGCAAACTGCCTACTTGAGGCACTTTAAAACACATTCAGCTAAAGGAGCACAGCCAGACGCATTACTGTATAATGGACAGCAGTGCTTAGCTTCAAGTTGTTAAACGACTGAAACGGTTTACTCCAACAGACTTTAACCGGAGTGATGCTGTATGAACAAGCACTTGGCAATTCCTGGCCTATGCTATTACAGCAGTTGCTCCTCTGCTGGGAAAATCACCACTCTCGTAAGAGAGGCAGTGCAGGCAGAGACCTGGAAGCAGAACGTGACCCCTCTGCATGCTGAGATTTCCCAGTGTTGGCACTGATTTGTTTGCATTCAGGATATTGTGGAGTCAGATCCTGGCATTTTTCAGAACAAAGAACTGCAAGCACAGGGGTTTGCGTCCTTTCTCCCACCGTGTTTTATGAATGAACAAAGCGTCTGAGAAATCATAATCCATCTTGGCATGTCAGGCAGACCGCTCGCTGTTGGTTGTACAGAGGACCTCCTCTGTTGTCTGAAAGCTGCACATTCTCATTTTATTACTGATCTTGTAAGTTCTCTTCAGTTTGTTGGCTGGTTAGATGAAGTGAGTCTGAGATGGGCTAGTCTATCTGACTAGTCCCTTTCAGTGATTTCACAGAGACCCTGGACCTACCTTAGCAGGCGTAAGTTAACTTTCCTTCAAAATACTTACGTCTTGGCATACTCACTGTTCATGTTCACTTGCGTTAAACTAGTGCTTTTATTCAGACTAGCCAAATTTCTAATAGACTTCACCAAGCTCGATTTGTCTTCTTCCATTTTGCAAAACTGAAATAATACCTCTCTACAGTCAGCAGAGCTGATGGCTCTGCAGGCAGAAAGGCCTGCTGCTTTGGGTCAAATGACATGTGAGTACCTTGATCTTTTATCTGTTTAGGCAGGGGCTAGAACATGGGATTGATTTCCTCTTGGGAAACATTTCTGTTGTAGAGTAAGCTCATGCAGGCAGCAAGGGACAAGCAATTTGGCATCAGCGCAGCACAGCTCAGAGAGAATTCTCCTGCCATGCTGACTTTGTTTTGTTGCAGCTGCTGTGGAAGCCTGTGTCTTGTACGGGTTGAAGCGGAGGGCGGCTGGCTTCCTGCGCAGTAACAAGATAGCAGCTCTGTTTATGAAGGTGGGCAAGAGCTTTCCTCTGGCAGAGGAGCTTTGCAAGAAGGTGCAAGACCTGGAGCAGCTTATTGAGAATGCGTAAGGCACCAGCATTCCTGTTTTCTGACAGGTCGCTTGCATTTTGGTGTGGGTATGGATTGCAATGTTCAACTTAATCTCCGAGGTGGAGGGGAGTTCCTATCTTGGGCTGCTGGTATCCTGAGTGAACTGGTTGCTTCTCTAGGAGTTATTAGTGAGCCCAGCTATTTATTGTGTCCCTTGTCCCATACCTCAGGGGCTGCTAAGCATGTTTGCTCCTGAACTGTCACAGTTTATGGATCAATACGCTAAGTCAACTGGAACCAAATTTGGTTTGCCTCAATGTACAGGGCTTTAAACTGCAGTAATTCAGCTGCTGTTTGAGGGTGGCTTACTCATCCTTGGACAGGTACCAGGGAGAGGGATGAAGCAACTGCCTGGGGGGCAGGAATCTTTAAGCTGTCCTAGGATAAGTTGCTTTCCTTATGAACTTCTACCTTCAGGCACCAGGGAAAAGGGAGCCTGTGGGTCTGAGAGCTCTACTGAGGCAGAGACTTCCAGGATGCCTTTATTATTGAAAACAGATTTAGTGAAGTCCCTTTTCAAATGTAGATTTGGGTATTCTGGAGCAGGGAATGGACTGGCTGAAGGAAGCAGTCCCCAGAGCCCTGTCCCCACATGGTTCCCTGGGCATGCCTCAGCCATCACAGTCAGCACCATTGAAAGCCTGACCTTGTGCCCCACAAGGTGCAGTGAGTGTGCTGGTCCTGTGCTCCTGCAGTGCTCAGTGATGTGAGCCAGTGATGATGTTGTCTTCTGCCTTGTGCCTCTAAAGACGCAATCAAGTCCAAGGCATCCCGGAGAACGTGCGCAAAGTGCCGAAGCTACCCAACCTGTCTCCTCAAGCCATCAAGCACCTCTGGATCCGCACAGCCCTCTTTGAAAAGGTCTTGGATAAAATCGTACATTACTTAGTTGAAAACAGCAGGTGAGTGCTGGCACAGGCCAACCCTTTGCCCCTCCCAACTTGCTACCCCACAGAGTCTGCACCTTCCAATGGTGTTGGAACTGTTGCTGCCCAAGCTGCAGCCAGGTGGGCCAGAGGGGTCCTTGAATGGGACAGGCCAGCTGTGCTGTGCTGTGCCCAGGACAGGACCTCCAGTTGATAACCCTGCTGCTGGTACAGTGCTGCTGGGCGCTGTGCACTCCCTAAAATAAAGGCAGGCGTGCTTGTTCTGCTGATGGCTGGGTGTTCAGCATTTGCATCGTCCCTGTCTTTCTCTAGCTTTTGAAGACTGCATGTTAAGGTGTCCTGCCCTGCGGAGATGTCATCTCCAGCCCTGAGGATGTTTTCTTACAAGGTGGTGATGCTTGCAATATGCTGCAGGAGGACATTTATTCCCCCAGAATTTCACAGCTGGCAGGAACAGCCTGTAATAGGCTGCTCGTCTCCTTACCAAGGAGGGATGCAGAAAAGGGTGTTACTGTGGTTTCAAACCACTGTCTCTATCCCTTTGCACTCCCAGGGGGCTGAAATGCTACAGCATTCTGCTCTCTTTTATTTCTTCTAGTAAGTACTATGAGAAAGAAGCTCTCCTGATGGATCCTGTGGATGGGCCAATTCTTGCATCTTTATTGGGTAACACTTTCCTCTTATCCTACTTTCATAGCTGACTTTCCAAACCTGTGTTGCCCATTCTGTGATGCCAATGCAATTGCTTTTCAGCAAGAACTCTAGAAAACTTAGTAGCGCTGGACAGCTCCTGGAGCTGTGGAGCGTTTATGAAGAACAGCACACCCGGCTGCTGATCGGAGAATCGAGACAGGGAGGTGCAGGCTGAGCTGAGGGGTTTCCTTTTCTTACAGGCTTCAGGAATACTGACAGACATAAATCAGCATTGAAGCCTGGACCTGGAGAGTAGTAAAGTGCTGTAATGCAGGGCTCTGCATGCATATGGCTAGTCATGTAATGGGTTGTCTGCTCACTGCCGGGGTGGCTGAATTTCTCTGAATTCTTAGCCGCCATTGCATAGCGCAGCAATGTGTACTGAGCCTGGTGCTTGCCGCTTGCCATCCCACCACCCCTCCTCTGAGGTGTTGGGCTCTGTGTATCTCAGAGAAGAGCGTTGTACTGATGACTTCCTAATATTGACCTCATCTGCGGTTTCCTTCCCTGTGCAGTGGGGCCCTGTGCACTGGAGTACACCAAGATGAAGACAGCTGACCACTTCTGGACAGATCCCTCAGCTGACGAGCTCGTTCAGAGGCATCGGATCCACAGCTCACACTGTCGCCAGGACTCCCCCACCAAGCGCCCTGCGCTCTGTGTGAGTGGAGACAGATGGCTGGGATGGACAGCTTCCCGCAGCACTCCTCCTGGGGTGGATGGGCAGCACTCTTCAGGGTTTGAAGCTTCATTTGTTTGAAAAGAGCTGTGAAGCCCTCTGATGAGAAAAGCTAGAAATGTGCAGTTACTTTAAGTCTTCAAGCTGGAAGAGCTGAAAGCATGGGCTGTGAGGAGTGCAGACTTACTGGAACAGCAGGGACACTGCATTCTGGAATTTCTGCCCTTTGGAAACAGCATATGTGAATTAAAAGTGAAGGCAGTTGAAGCTTGCTCTGTTTATTGCAAACAAAGTGCAGTCCTGGAGCTTTTGTAGGTAGAGACTTGAGCTTGGCTGGAGCCAAGGATACAAAGGAAGAGTTCTGATAGTGAATTTCTGAAGTGTATAAGTGAGGGAGGGAATAAGCTTTCAGGATAAGCTTTTCTAAAGCAGGAGGTGCTTGTGCTCAGCTCACATTCATAGCTGATCTCTTCCAGATTCAGAAAAGGCATTCGAGTGGTAGCATGGATGACCGACCATCACTGTCTGCGAGGGACTATGTGGAGTCACTGCATCAGAACTCCCGAGCCACGCTCCTCTATGGCAAAAACAATGTCCTGGTGCAGCCAGTAAGTACCTGATGGGGCATCTGGGCTTTAAATTCCTGCTCTGCTCCCCTCCAGGTAATTCTGTCCAAAGATGGTCTTTGATGGAGATGGGGACAGGCTCATTTCTAGTCTGGAGGGGCAGTGACTGGACTGCGTTTGTTGAGGTCCTAACAATATAGATGCTCCTGGTGGAATGGAAGAGCTCTGCTTCTAGCTGAATACAGACAGAGTCCCTCGTCTGCTTACCGTAATCAAATAAATAAAGCAAAACTGCTTACACAGAGCTGTTGATGGTTTGCCTCAGCTAGGCAGCTGCTCTCAGCCTCTTGCCAAGGCAGTGAGGTGTCCTACTAGCTCTGCTTGCAGGTTTGGCAGAGCCACCGCGGGTTTCTCGCTATCGGTGATGGGCTCAGGGAAGCAAGCAGGGCCGCATTACAGTCCAGGGCTGTGCTCCAGGGCATGGGTCAGCCTTAGGCAGCATGAGGTGCCTCACTGAACCTGGGGCCTGTGCGCTTCTGGTATCTTCTAGGCTGCTCTCACCAGCTCACTCTTTCC